GCACCAGATGCCTAAGAGCCACTCAGTGGAGCTGGCTGTGCCACTGGTGGAACCTGCAAACCGTGTATCCTCAGCAAGCCTTGCCATAAATTAGTATTGACCAGATATTCCTAAATCAATTCCAGTCTTCTCTGTTCATCAGTGTCCAAAAATGACCTAGCAGTAGAAACATTAATACAAAACTCTCCCTAAATCCTTTTGTGAAATGTTTGAGCCAGTTGCCTGCAGAAAACTGTCCTATATCTCTTTCCATAGAAGGTTAATTATTAGTAGGTTCCCTCACAGCTCTAGCCTTTCCTGAGTAGTCTTTAGGTTCTAGAACATCATCTACTTCATTTAATGCAAAGAAGCTTCTGTCCTCAGATGGCACAGTGTAGTCCACATCTGCCATCTCAACTTCTTGAGCAGTGGTTTACCTCCTTTCTTTGCTTTTACTTTGCATCTTTTCAAGGCTTTCTCTTTTTCCTTTCTGTGTCTGCTTCACTTCCATACCTTATCTTTGCTTCTCTTCTGTTCATGACTGTGACTTCTACTCTTATTCTTTTCTCTTCTTTTTTTCTGCTGCATTTAGCATGGTTGTTAGCACTGTTCACATTGTTCTCATCCTTCTTTTAAGAAAGGAACTTCAAGCATTGCTTCAGTATCAGTGTCATCTGCCCTGTAAAGGCTTTCTGACTCCAACAGTGCTCATTATCTGGGAAGAGGTGGTAGTGGCTGCGGCAGCAGCAGCTACTGCAGCTGCTCACAACTGTCATTCTTATCTTTGAGTCTGCCTGCCACAACTGGACCAGGAAACAATGTCTTTAGCCGCAGCTGGGTTTCCAACTTGTAGAGTATCATCCAGAAGGCTAGCACTGCATTGTTCTTGTGGTTGCAGAGCATGGGAGCCAAAGTTATAAGGTTTTTGGGCCCTAAACTTGTAATACTTACTGTGTTACTTCAGCTAGCTTCTGTTAGTCAAAGTTAGCAGCCAGCCCAGATGTAAAGGGTAGGGAACTAATCTTATCCCTGGATAAAAGAAGCTGCAACAGTTTGTGAACTTTAAAAACCTACAAGGTACATTTTTTGTTTTATTTTGTTCATATTTTGTTTGGGGGGAGTACTGGGGATCAAACTCACAACCGCCCAGTTGCAAGGCAAGTGCTGATGCCACCAAGCTGAAGCCCCGGCCCATTATTTAGTATCTTTGTATTTATATAATGAAAAATACACGTGCCTGTAATTTTCCTCTCTCTCTCTCTCTCTCTCTCTCTCTCTCTTTTGTTACTAGGGATTGAACTCATGGCTTTGCGCCATGCTTATACCACTGAGCTAAATCGCTAGCTACCCTTTCTCATATCTTTATCTGGTTTTGGCATCAGGATCATGCTGGTCTCATAAAATGAGTTGGAATTCCCAACTCTAACCAAGACACTTGTCATAGAGCAGGTGTATACATTTTTTTTATTGGTTGGATGAATGAAAAAGTAAGTAAATGATTATTGTCAGTCAGAGAAGTAAAATCAACTAGGGAAAAAAGTATGGGACCAGGGATATAGCTCAGTAGCATAAGTACCTGCCTGGCAAGCACAAGCCTGAGTTTGATTCCTGGTACCAAAACAAAAAATGTGAATGGTTAAATATGACAGGATTTTTTAAAAAATGAAAGTTCTTAGTTTTATCTACTTTTTTTTTTTTTTTTTTTTTTTAAGTGTCTCACTATGTAGTACAGGCTGGCCTTGAACTCACTTATGTAGCACAGGCTGGCCTGGAACTCATGGGAATCCTCCTGTCTCGGCCTCCTGAGTGCTAGGATTACAAGTATGTACCACCACGCCCAGAATTTATCTACTTTACTAACATTACTTGTGTAGTCTTTCTTATTAGGACAGACATTCTGCTCTGTTCACATTTGAAATTCACTGGTAAAAAAGAAAAGAAAGAAGCTTTTCCAAGTTTCTATAATTTACATTGTATTGTGAAGTCCCAGTTACTATGGTGGCTACAAAAAAGCAATACAAAAAGCGGAGTCTAACAGGGAGATAAAAGTACAGCAAAAGTACTCCAGAGCTAAAAAAAACTTGATTGGCTGGAAGTTACTGTTCCCAGGACATTCAGTGATTCAAGGTTTTTGTGGCCTAAGGACTTGGAAGGGTAAGCATTCCAAATTATATTCAAAAATAACATCTCTGTGTTTCTTTTTTTTAAAAGACTAGCTACAATCAGACCTTTGCTGGCTTTACTATATTCTCAAATTTCCACAACTTTTCATGCAATAGATGAGTTGATATATGCCAAAGCTGCTGTGTGGCACTTGGAATTCTCTGCAAAATTTAGTTTCAAATTGGTATGAGAATATATTTGCTCTTCCTTCTTTGAATTTTACTAATTTTGTTTAGGGGTAGGGAAGAGGGTATAACTTTCTTTTTCCCCATTCAGGTTCAAACACTGCATATGATGAAATGACCAAGTTGATGGTTGATGATTTTGAATGCAATCAGTTTCCTGAGCTAAGCATATTATATAGCTAAATAATACATTTTCTTCTAGGTACATGGGTAGCTGTAGTCAATAGTGGAGCATATTCAGTTATACAATAACTACTATCGATCAATAAGAGACAGAAAAATTCAGGCAGTATTGCAAATAATATTTTTTAATATAAAGAATATTTTTCCTAGAGCTAAGTTTTCAGTTTCTTTGTAAAAATGTGTTAAAGTATTGGTTTGCTTGTTGTGAAGATCAAATGAGAACATGTATTTGGATATTTTTACTTAAACATATATTTAATATTTTAGTTAATAATACTTAAAAATTCGTTATAAATACTAATTTATTTAAAGCCAGACATAGTGGCACACACCTGTATTCCTAGAGGAACACAGTAGCGTTCCAGCTACTCTAGAGGCTGAAGCCAGTGGATCACTTGAGCTTTTAAGTTCAAGACCAGCCTAGGTAACATAGTAAAACCCTGGCTCAATAAATGTCTTAATGGATCGAAAGTATTTAATCTTCATAGCATCCGTGATGCAGACACTATATTCTCCATTTTTCAGGTGAAACTGAGCAATAGAGAGGTCAAATAACTTATTCAGATATAACCTATTTAGTTACTGAGCTGGGGTTCATGTCCAAATAGTTTGGCTTCAAAAGCATTATTCTTAATCATTATGCCATGGGAGGCTGGGGATTTAGCTCAGCAGCATAAGCGCCTGCCTTGCAAGCAGGCAGTCGTGAGTTTGATCCCCAGTACCAATAAAAAAGACAAAAGACAAAAAAAAAAATCATTGTACCATGTTCCTCTCTTGCCTTTACAAGATACAGACACTGTCTTAGTGACTTTTCTCCTTGCTGAGACAAAATACTCAACACCCAAAGTTAAAGGAGGAAGAGTTTATTTCAGCTCATAAATTGTCGAGGTTTTAATCTATAATTGGCTGGCTTCAAGACAGAGTTGCTTGGCAGAGGAGATCACACAGGAGACAGGTATGATAGGCAGAAGGCAGCAGAGTAGGGAAGGAGCAAGCCAAGACAGCAGCCCTCTTTCTGTCCCTTATATTGTAGCTATTCTAGAGGGCTACATACCCTTAGGGTAGATAGCCTAAAACTATGTCAAACCATTAGTCAGTGGACTAATTTAGTAATCATACACCCTTCATCCCAGCATCACACACTGAATCCCAGCATCACACACTCTAAATCCAGCCACCTCTGAAAAGCCCCACCTATGACTGCATGAGGCTTTGGGGTACATCTAGACATAAGCCATAACAGATACCATATAGATATTAGTAGCATATTATTACATGTGTAGCAGTGTATTAGATGTTGTAGAAAATACTTTGAGGAACTTATAGTTTGGTTAAAAGGAAAAACAGAGAATACTAAATGGTAATATATGATACTATTTTTACTATATAACTCCATACCTAGAAAAATAATACACTTTTTTAAAAAAATGCTTCATAGGGCCAGGGAGTTAGCTCAGCAGCATAAGCGCTGCCTGGCAGGCATGAGATCATGAGTTTGATCTCCGGTACCACCAAAAAAAAAAAAAAACTTTATATATAGCATAAAACAACTAGTGCATAGTAGATACGTAGTTGATGTTGGTCAATAAGGATGACCTTAAATAATATTATTTTCATTTTCATAGTGAACAGACTTAGAGCATTATGACCTAGGTTATTATTTGTAGAAAAAGAACTCCTTGTTTTACAGTGTGTGCCTCATAGTGGGTTTATGATTCATCTAGTTGGCTAAGCAGTATCTTGATTGCTCCTCTTTTCTTTTCTCTTTTTTTGTTATTGTTGTCGTCATTGTTGTATTTTCAGTGTTGGCAATCAAACCTCAGGCCTTGTGTATGCTAGGGAAGTGCTGTATCAGTGAGGTATGCTCTAGCCTCCTTAAGTTTTTATTTTTGCAATAGTATTTACAGAATTATTACAGTATCACAGAGAATACAAATATTTACCTAGATTTCCCAAATGCTAACATTTACTCTATTGTTTTCCTTATAATATGTATTCAGTATATTTAATATGCATATATAATATATTATATATACAGTTGCCTTTCAGAACCATTTGAGAATTAAATTGAGACCTGTGCCCATTTGTCTTTAATGTCTATCCCATAGCCCTGAAAAAGAACTGGAGATTACATTGGTATAATACTTTAAGCTATATACCTTATTCAGACTTTACCAATTAACCTAACAATATCCTTTATAGCAATAAAAATTTTTTGACTGCTCATGGTTTTTTTGGGGGGGTTGCAGGAGTACCAGGGATTGAATTTACAATCTCATGCTTGCCAGGCAAGTGCTTGTGCCACTGAGCTAAATCCCTGGCCCCAACTATTCATGTTTTAAACATTGTGGTATGTTCTACATAACACTCATCGTGGCTCCTCTCCCATCTCAGTCTCATGTTTGATTCCAAGAGTACTCTGTCCCCTGACTTAGTCATGCAGGTGAGGCAAATGGCTTGATTTGATTTTCTTTCTTTTATGTGATTCAGTGGAGCAGCGTGACTTCATTGGAGTGGACAGCACAGGAAAGAGGCTGCTTTTCATGGCTAATGAAGCAGACTTGGATGAAGAGCTGGTCATTAAGGGATCCGTCCTGCAAAAGTAAGCCTTAGGGATTTTCTTGGCAGTTCTTTTTGTCTTAGCACAAAACAAAACCACCCACCATGGAAAAGAGGGAACAAAACTAGATTATACTGTGCGAAATTGACAAAAGTATTTGTTTCTTCCATGAAGAAGATAAAGGCTTTTTACACTGCACAAACTTAGTTTTCCCCCATGTCTTTTCTTGCCAAGGTAGAGACGAATGTTATGTAGGAGTAGGGCAAAGTAGCAGTGTAGACCCTTTAAAAAGAAAAAAATTATGACAAAAAACACATAACATAAAACTTGGCTAGCTTATCTGTTTTTAAGTGAACAGTTTATTAGTGTTAAATATGTTCACATTGTTGGGAAACAGTTCTCCAGAACTTTTCCATCTTGCAAATATGAAACTACCTCATTAAAAAACAATTTCCCTTTCCCTACTCCCAGTAAGGCCCTGTTAAGAATTCTGCTTTTTGTTCCTGTTAATTTGACTACTTTAGGTATGTATGTGAAACCATAATATTTGTTTTTCTGTGGCTATTCCATTTAGTATGTCTTCAAGATTCATCATATTGTGTACCATATGACAAGATTTTCTCCTTTTTAAAGCTGAATAATATTCTATTATATGTTTATATTACATTTTGTTCATCTACTCCTCCACTGGTAGTCATTTGTGTCACTTTGACCTCTTGACTCTTATATGTAGTGCTGCTCTGGATATGGGTATGCAGCTATCTCTTTAAGACCTTGTTTTTAGTTCTTTTGGGTATATACCCAGAAGTGGGATTGAACCCAGGGCTTCACACATGCTAGGCAATCACTCTACCATTGTGTTATATCCCTAACCCTACTTTTTAAAATTTTATTTTAAAGATAGTAAAATACAATGAAACAAGACAGAATAAAGCCAAGCAAGACAGTGCAGTGAAATTGGTACAGAACTTCAGAGCAGGATACTGGGATAACAATAATAGGTACCATAGTATATCTTGTTATCTTCACAATAGTTGCCCATTCAATCAGGTATAGAAAAATCAAACCACAAACAGAACACTATTAAACCAATCAAGCTGGGCGTGGTGGCTCACGCCTGTAATCCCAGCACTCGGGAGGCTGAGGTGGGAGGATCATTGCGAATTCAAGACCAGCCTGGACTACAAAGTGAGCTCAAGGCCAGCCTGAACTGCATAGCGAGACCCTGCCTCAAAAAAAAAAAAAAAAAAAAAAAAATCAAAACAGAATATTGAATAGAGCAAAACAGTTAATCAGAACAAAGCAAAACAGTGAAAACAATATTGACCTTCAAAGACAAGATATAAGGAAATCCCCCATATTTGCTGTATTTCATACAGTCATGCTCCCAAGAGATGGTCAGACCTCTGGCCCCAGGTCAGCATAATAAATCAAACAATACAAGCACTTAGTTGCTTTATGTACCTTAGGTTGCTATCAACTCCGGCTGACCTCGAAACCATTCAGTTTTGGGTGGGTGGGGGCCACACATGACATTTGATTCTCAGCCTGGACGCAAGTAGGCTCACAGGAGACAGACTTACTCTCTTGCTGGCATACCCACAGCTCGTACCACTTACCAGGACAGCTGGCTTGTTGCTTTCTTGGTTGATCCCCCAAGTTCCAGCATGGCTGATTCTTGGGAGATGCTGACTTGTTCTTTCCTTGGCACCCCCCAACCCTATTTTTAATTTTTTTAAGAATTTCTTTTTCCATAACAGTTATACCACTTTACAATCTCACCAACAGTATATAAGGGTTCCAGTTGGTTTGGTTTAGTTTGGTTTGGTAGTAACCATTTTAATAGGTGTGTAGCACTATCTCATTGAGAACCTTCTTTTAATAAAAGGCTGGGTTTTAATACATAGGCAACCCAGTTGCATTTTCTTTAGGATGATTTTCCTCAGAAGCCACCTACTCAGAACTCTGCCTGATACTAGTACGTAAGATTGTTCAATAAATATTTGAAGCCCAGGTCAAGTGAATATGAGATTATAAGAAAGTATCTTATTTTTTGCCTTTACTATCTATGTGCAACACAAGAGATAAGAAATGTTTCAGAGTACATAGTTTAGTGAAAATCAAGCTAAACTATCTTCATTTAAGCCCAGTTACATGTGTAGTTAAGAATTCTTTTAAGTGTCTTTGTCATCTCATCTGTAAAATGGGGTTTATAATCATAGGAGTATCATGTAGAATAAATGAGAAAATACATGGTACATAATTAGTATGATGACTGTTACCTAATTTTTTAAAATTCAGATTATTATCATTTCTAAATGAATAAATAGCTGTTGGAAATACTGCATAATATCACCTCTGGGTTACAATGGTTGTTTCAGACTATATCACAGAACTTGTTACAACTACTTTCCAGTTAGAAAATAAAAGTAAAAGCAGAAGTTTTAACCTCAGCAAGCAAAGGAGGATAATTAAATTTTTTTTTTTTTACACAACTGGAGAGCACTCTGAAGAGGATAATTAAATTAATAAAAGGAAAGAAACTATTCAGATGAAGAACTGAGAGGCAAAAGTAAGGTCCTAATTCTACTCCCCAGCAGGCTAAACTGATATGTTAATAACATCCCCTAAATCTGGAAAGAAGTGAACCAAATACATCTATACTTTTTTTTCCTGTGTGTGTTTTTTTCCTTTTTATCGGTACTGGGAATCGAACTCACGACTGCCTGCTTGCAAGGCAGGTATTTATGCCGCTGAGCTAAATCCCCAGCCCCATCTGTACATTTTCAGCCTCTTATAACAAGCAGAGGGAATAGTTACTGGGGAATAAATGATGAAGTAGGAAAAATGAGCAGTGAAGCTGATGCTTTAACAGAATGAATATCTGAGTTTAAATGATGGATATATAACATAGCACAGTGGTGTAATATGCTCCTAATTTTGTGGAATGAACCAAAAACATTAACAGAAACTCAGGAAAGAATTTGCCTAATAACACAGACTCTATAATATTTTACCTGTGTTTCTTATACCCTCATATTCCTCCTACTCACATTCTGAGTAGAAAAATACAGAATAACCAGCACTCACTTGGGTAGTTAGTCACAGACATGAGGTAACAAGAGATATCAAAACATAAAATATGTCAATAGAGCCTTAACTAAAACATTAAAAAAAAAAAAAAAAAAAGTACGTGTCAGTAGCCAGATATGGTAGTGCATACCTAAAATCTCAGCACTCAAAAGAGGGAGAAGGGAGGATAGCCAGAAGTTCAAGGCCAATTTGGACTATGTGTAGACCCTGTGTCAACAAACAAATTTAAGAATTAGCATCAACTGCATAAACAAATGGAAGGTAAAAAAATGCTTTGTAAAAACCTGAAAAGATGCCCCCTGATTGACATGTTTTGAAATTTTGTTTGCTTCTCTCTTTTTTTTTTTTTTTTTTTTCTCTTTGAAATAAAACGGATTTGGGGGGAAAAAAGGCTGAACAAATAAAAAATAAATTAAAAAAACATGGATTTTTTAAAAATCTGAAAAGATTGGAAGACACAGTCATGGTAAAAAAAAAATCTGAAAAGAAACCATTACTTAAGAAATAGAAGAAATATCCTTACAACTATAAAACAACTTATTAAAATGTGAATTTTTGTCCCTGATTTAATCAGTTTTACCTGACTAATTAATCTTATTGGTTGGCCATAGTTCTGGCCCACCTCATGCCCACCTTGCAAGTTCCCATGTTTCCCCTCCCTTAGACCTGCCTAAACTATGGTTTTACTCTGTGAAAGTCCCTAGAAAAGACAGGGCCTTTGGCAACCACTTAGGACCCCTGTCTCTCTTAAGACAGAAGCTTTTCTTCTCTCAATAAATATATTCTGCTATTTAAAAATAAAATGTGAATTTTATAATTTTATTATCTCAGTGATGAGATAGTAAAACAATAAAATGAGGTTTAAAAGGGTATAGCTGAGCATGGGATGTATGCCTGTAGTCCCACCTTTCGGAAGGCTGAGGCAGAAAGATAAGAGTTCGAGGCCAGCCTGAGCTATGTGCATAGTGAGACCCTATCTCAGAAAACAAAAAATACTCTAGAACTAAAAATAAATTGAAGAACAATTAAGAATGATGGAATTAATTCAAAATATCAAAGAACAGACAACACTAAACATTAAATTATTCGTATATAAAGAAATGGTTTGATAGATTCAGTTATTTAAATGAAAAAAGAAATGGTTAAAGAAATTAGAGCAAGCAGGGTATGGTGGTACATGCCTATAATCCCAGCACTCCAGAGGCTAAGGCAAGAGTATTGTTATGAGTTCAAGGCACTAGACAAGTGGTGGGGCTTATCTGCTTCAAAATTCAACACAATGAAGAAAAAAAATTCAACACCGTGGAATCTAGGGAGTGGGTTATCTCTGGGGAACTCCCCTAGGTTTATATCCTTAGGTTTTTCCTCATTTATCTAATAGCACACTTAAAAATCCTTGAGACCAGAGATTTAGCTCTGTGGCATAAGCACCTGGGCTATAAAATGAGCTCAAGGCCAGCCTGAACTGCATAGTGAGACCCTATCTCAAAAGGACAAAAAAATAAAAATAAAAAATTTCAAAAAGAGCTGAAGCAATTCACTCTTCCTGTGAGCTGATGGAAGCTATTTGGGTTCTGGGAGAAGAAACAAAAAGCCAATTCACACACACACACACACACACACACACACACACCCCTCATAAGCAACAGGCTAATTCAGAGGAACACAGGCTGAGTTGTTAGTAACGTAAGTACAAGCCAACTTAATGCTTGTATTGTTTGATTGACAACACACACACACACACACACACACACACACACACACACACACTCCACCCTCATAAGCAACAGGCTAATTCAGAGGAACACAAGCTAAGTTGTTAGTAATGTAAGTACAAGCCAACTTAATGCTTGTATTGTTTGATTGACTTTGCAGGCCTCAAGCTGGTAGTCACCATTATTGAGAGGATAACAATATGTAATATAGCAAATATGGATGATTTCCTTCTG